GCTGTGATATTGGTTTTTCTGGATTAAATAATCCCACTAGTGGTTTATGTATGATCAGTCATTATTGTAAATTGTCTACCACTTAAAAATTGATGAAACTTTTGCACACCAAACATAATCGCTAGCGCTTCTTTATCCAACTGTGAATAATTTCGTTCCGCGCCCTGTAATGTTCTGGAGCCAAAAGCAATCGGTGCTTCTCTATCATCCGGCATCTTGTGTGCCAAAACAACTCCAACTCCATACGGTGATGCGTCTCCGCATAATATCAGTGGTAAGTCAGCCGAATAATGCACCAAAAGATTTTTTGATTGTAATAGTTTCTTTGCTCGTTCAAAACTTAATTTCTGTTCTTTACCCCATTTAAAAGGTATCTCTTTTCTTAATAGTCGATACAGCGGTTCCAATAGATCGCCCTTATTTTGTAAAAATCTATCATAAAATGTAATTAACCCAAGAAAAGCTTGTAGCTGCTGTTTATTTATTGGTTCTGGTGCTTGAGCTATTGCCTTCACCTTTTCGTCAGTTGGACGCACTCCTTCTCGGCTTATCTTAAACCCCAAAAATGTTATCTCTTGTACTGCGAAAACACATTTTGATTTTTTAAGCTTCAATCCTGCATCCTGTACACGTTTCAGAGCAATTCGTGTTCTATCCCACAACTCTTCCAAAGTTGTTCCGCCAATTAGAATGTCATCTAAATAAATAATCACACCATCTATGTTCTTAAGAACTCCTTCCATCACCCGTTGAAATATACCTGGTGCCGTTGAAATTCCAAACGGTAATCTTGTAACTTCAAAAAGTCCGCGATGTGTGTTTAATGTAAGTATCCTTGCTGATTCTTGGTCAACCTTCACCTGTGTATACGCTCGATCTAAATCCAGCTTTGTAAACCACTTACAATTTGCTAATGTTGCTAGCACTTCTGTATTAGTAGGTAATGGATACGTTTCCTTGCAAAGCATTTGATTCACTGTGCACTTATAATCTCCACAAATGCGTATGCTACCATCTGGTTTAATTATAGGTACAACCGGTGTTGCCCACTCACTAAAGGATATTGAACGTAGTGCGCCTTCATCTTCCAACTTCTTTAATGCTGCTTCCACCTTGAGTTTTAGTGCAAACGGCACTTGTCGATATCGAAGAAATTTCGGTTTACTTGAAACTGACATTTGTAACTTCACAGGATTTCCCTTGTAATCTCCAAGATTTCCATCAAAAACTGAACTGAAGTTCATCACTTCTACTGGAATAGTTGATTCTATATTGCATAAATTGCTGGTTATAGTAATTCCCAAATCGTTAAACCAATTTCGACCGATTAGAGCCGGACCTTCACCCGCTGCTACTAACAACTTTAGTTTCTTTGTGACGTTCCCAACCGAGACTGGTACTTCTGCTTCTCCACTCAGTTTAAGATTTTTCTCTGTTCCCCAAGTTCTTAATTGTATTTGACTTGGTTTTAGCGGAATATACGGCATTTTTTCTCTAAATAACTTTTCACTTATTATTGAGTAACTTGCCCCCGAATCTATTTCCATTTGTACCGGTGACTTACTTATCGTAATCACTCTCTTGACCGATGGACTACCTTTAACGAACATTGACCATAAATACTCTGTCTTTTGAGTTTCCTGGTTTGTATCTAAAAGATTTACTCTGTTTGGTCTTCTTCCATTATTTGTTGCTGGCTTTTTGGTTTTTGCTTTTTTTATACAAGCTCTCTCAATATGTCCACGCTTTTTGCAATAATAACATTCCGCGTCTTTAAATTTGCACTGATCTGAATGATGATTTCCTCGACAACGATAACAATTCTGAATATGGTCCACTGGAGCACGATTTGGTTTTACCTTGTTGCTTGAAATTTTATTCAACCCTGATAGGCTGGCTGACGTTTTAAGTTCCGTCGCATTCTTTTGTGCTGTTTCTGATGCTATAGCTTCCTCCTGCGCTATTTTTAGTGTTAACTGGTCATTCGCCAGGAGCCGCTTTTGTAAATTTTCATCGCGCATGCCACAGACTAGTCTGTCTCGTAACATTTCTTCCAAATCCTTGAAATTGCAGTCTTGGCTCAATTTCCTTAGCGCTGCCAAATATTCAATAATTGATTCGTCCTCTACTTGGTTTCTCCGATAAAATTTAAACCTTTCAATTATTGCATTCGCTGCCGGACAAAAATAGTTGGTCAATAACTTAGTTGCCGCCTCAAATGTGAATGTTTCCTCTACAATATTAATCGGTGTGGCAACCGATTTTAATATTGTGTAGGTTTCCGGCCCACATGACGCTAAAAAGATTGCTTTTTTCTTTTTATCGTCTGTGATTTCATTTGCCAAAAAAAAAAACTCCATTTGCTCCCTGTAAGTCTTCCACTTCCCCGACGCAACGTCAAATTGATCCAATACCCCAAAACTCCTCGCCATCCTTTAATTTTTATCCTCGTCGCCATTTTGTTATGTTCTTATATATAACAACATATACTTTATTACTTAAAGTATTATAATAATTTACAATTTAATCTTAATAAAATATTATGATTACACCACAGCACGTTTACTCTGCTTTGCACGATTCCGACAACAACTACGCATTTTGTCTTTTTTACTTCTTTCTCTATTTCTTTATGCAGTGTTGCCATTATCGAATATACTACATACATAATTAAGTTATTAACAAACATGCATGACAAAAATAATTCTCAACTTAGTTGTGTGGACTGCGTAACATACTTCAAAATATGTCATTC